ATGCCCGGTACACCACAACAAAATGGTGTAGCTGAAAGGCGGAATCGTACTCTTATGGAAATGGTTAGGAGTATGTTGAGTTACAGTAATGTACCTTTGTCGTTGTAGATGCATGCATTGAAGACTACTGTATATCTGCTAAACAGGATTCCTAGTAAGGCAGTTCCTAAGACACCTTATGAACTATGGACAGGTAGGAAACCCAGTTTGAGGCACCTACATGTTTGGGGATGCCCAGCAGAAGTAAGGATATACAATCCACATGAAAAGAAGCTTGATGCAAGAACCATTAGCGGTTACTTCATTGACTATCCAGAAAAGTCAAAGGGTTATAGATTTTACTATCCTAACCATAGTACGAGAATAGTTGAGTCTGGGAATGCTAGTTTCATTGAGAATGGTCAGTTCAGTGGGAGTGGAGAACAAAGAAAAGTTGACATTAAAGAAATTCAGGGTGAAACCCCTATGTCCAATGATTCTCATCAAGTTGTTGTTCCTCTCGTTGTATCACAGTTGCACAACGTACGAGAGCAACGAATTCATGTTAGAAACCTACAAGGTGAACATGAAGGTGTTGATCCTCCAAATCAACAAGATGAACCAGCAAATAATACACAAGTTGAAATTGAGCAAACGGTAAATGAACCACAAGAAGTGGCATTAAGGAGGTCTGTAAGGCAAAGAAGACCAACTATTTCGCAGGATTTTGAGGTTTACTCAATTGAACATGAATGTGACTTGAGCATTGATGATGACCCAGTCTCGTTCAAACAAGCCATGGAATGCAACAATTCCGAAAAGTGGTTAAATGCCATAAAAGAAGAGTTGAAATCAATGGATGACAACAAAGTCTGGGAATTAATTGAGTTGCTTGAAGGTTCAAAACGAGTTGGTTGTAAATGGGTCTTCAAGACCAAACGAGACTCGAAAGGCAACATAGAAAGATATAAGGCCAGACTTGTCGCCAAGGGTTACATTCAAAAGGATGGCATTGACTACAAAGAGACTTTCTCTCCAGTTTCAAAGAAAGACTCTTTAAGGATTGTTATGCCTTTGGTGGCTTATTATGATTTGGAGCTTCACCAAATGGACGTAAAGATCGCCTTTTGATCAGACCAAAATTATGCATGTTTTTATGGTCATTTTCCTATGCTTTTAAACATATTTATGCTAGATTTTGCCCTATAATGCTTACATTTGTGATTATAGGCGTTGAAGAGATAGATTGTGCAAATATGTTGATTTAGGTGCTTTTTGAAGCTATTTTGATCGATTTTTGGCACAAAGGTTTTTCATGGACTTTCTTGGAAGAATTTGGAGCTATCATGTTCGTGATTGAAGAATCCATGGAGTCAATTTTATGCTTATTGAAGCCATAAAGTTGAAAGTTATGAAGTTCCAAAGCAAAGGAGTAAGAAGAGTTCAAGTTGAAGAAGACATGTCAAGTCATCAGAAGACATGGGTGATTAGGCTTAGGACCTGGGTGTTCAGGCCAACCACATGGGCACCCAGGTAGAGTCGGGACACTACCCAGCTGGATCTTCAAGCAAACTACATAGGAGCTGAAGGTGATCATGTGGGCGCCCAGGGGGAGTCGGGTTCCCTATCCATGCGTAAATCAGGATGTCTTCATGTTGAAGTTTCTTCCTTGATTTCCAGATTTGGCGACAGCTTAAGAAAACAACAATAACTTTTGATCCAGAACTCTGTTTGAGGCATATGAGTAGGCGTTGGAAAGCTAACTCCGAGAGCTACAACTTTCGTTTTTTGGTCGAAGCCCAGTTTTGTCGATATCGTGGACGAAACTGCCCCTGAAGTTTCTGCAGACATGCTGGACCTAGAAAAGCCCATGAAATCAAGCCCAAATTGATATGATTAGCCTAAATTCGGTATATGGAGATAGCCCAGACCTGGAGGACGAAATTTCACCCAATTGAAGATGGTGTAATGAGCTTAAATGTCTATTTTGTCCTAGGTTAAGTTTGCCCTAAGTCTCTAGTATAAATAGCCACCTTTTCTCTCTAGAAAGGGGAGGAAGTTAGTCAATTTGGAGAACAAGAGGAGAGGCTGCCGTCCAGACCTACTTTGCTAAGTTTTCTATTCCTTTTCTTTGTTATTTGGTTGGTCACTCAAATCATGAGTGGCTAATCCCTTTAATTTCTCCGATGTAGAATTTAATTGATCTCTTGACTTTATCATGGGGAGATTTTTGCACTTATCTATGAAATCTTATTTGGGTATTTCTTAAATCTCTATTTTAATTCTATGTTGACTTGTTTTGATGGATTGGATCGATACTTTCTTGATAAATCAGGTCTTACATATGTTAAATCAATTCTAGATAGAAGTCTACTAGGTTGATTGTTGGTAGCAATTGAATATGAGTTAGTTAATTCTAATTCTTTTCAAGGGATTTATGAATCAAAAGTAATTTGTATGTGATATTCTTATTGCTTTTGTGCTTGCTTTAAATTACTTGTTCTTAATGCTTTAATCTTTATAAATCTTAAGCCAAAGTGGTAAAGAATTATTTAGATTAAAAAGAATTAATTGTGAAAAGTTATGTTCCAATTTCTTCATCTAAGGTAATTATTTTGGGGTTGAGGTAGTTGATTGCGAAAAGTTATGTTCCAATTGGTTCCCTTTACCTAAGCAAGCTATCCATTGCTTTCATAATCTTTCGATGTCGATGATCCATGTTAACTATGTCAAGAGTGATATTAATTCTATGTTGGAGGATTTGTCTTCATAAATTGTTTCCATTGGTAATTGTTATTACTTGCTTTAGTTTTCTTAATTATTTTCCTTGCTTTCGATCATACTTTCAAACATCAAAAATCTCTTTTACTTATTTGTTGTTAAGACAATTGATTAGGAAGAGAAATTAACCAATCTCTCTGTGGATTCGATCCCTACTTACCCTAGCTACCAAGCAAGAATTAGTGGGGATTTATTTTGTGATTTGCTAACGTCCGATCACCTTTCTAAATGGTGACTTGGAAGAAGAGGTATATATGGACCAACCAGAAGGTTTTTCGACCACAGGAAAAGAAAAGTTGGTGTGTAAGTTAAAGAAGTCAATACATGGACTGAAACAAGCTTCCAGACAATGGTATCTTAAGTTCAAAGATATCATAAAGTCATACGGTTTTGTAGAAAACACTGTTGATCGGTGTATCTATATGAAGGTCTGCGGGAGTAGGTTCATTATATTAGTCCTATATGTTGATGATATTCTTCTTGCTACTAATGACGTTGGGTTGTTACATGATGTAAAGAAGTTTCTCTCTAACAAATTTGAAATGAAAGATATGGGTGAGGCATCCTATGTGATTGGGATAGAAATGTTCTGTGATAGATCACAAGGATTGTTAGGATTGTCTCAGAAGAGCTACATCAATAAAGTTTTAGAGATACAGAATGGAAAAATGTTCTGCTGGAATAGTTCCAATTCAGAAAGGGGACAAGTTCAGTCAAATGCAATGTCCTAAGAATGATTTGAAACGAAAGGCTATGGAATCTATTCCCTATGCATCAGTGGTTTGGAGCTTAATGTATGCCCAAACCTGTACTTGGCCAGATATCAGCTTCGCTGTTGGAATGTTAGGCCGATATCAAAGTAATCCTATAATGGACCACTAGAAAGCTGCAAAGAAAGTCCTTAGGTACTTACAAGGCACCAAGGATTATATGCTCACGTATAGGAGAACGAATCATCTTCAGGTGATTGGTTACTCGGATTCAGACTATGCTGGTTGTGTCTACTCAAGAAAATCCACATTTGGTTACTTGTTCCTGTTAGCCGGAGAAGGAGTATCATGGAAGAGTGGGAAGCAGTCAGTTATCGCTACTTCCACCATGGAAGCTGAATTTGTGGCATGCTTTGAGGCTACAATTCATGGATTGTGGTTGCGGAACTTTATCTCAGGGTTTGGAGTTGTTGATAGTATAGCTAGGCCGATGGGAATTTTCTGTGACAATTTCGCAGCTGTCTTCTTCTCAAAGAATGACAAATACTCGAAAGGGGCTAAACATATGGATTTGAAGTATTTGTCTGTAAAGAAAGAAGTACAGAAACGCACAGTGTCTATTGAGCATATTGGTACTGACTTGATGGTAGCAGATCCGTTAACTAAGGGACTACCGCCCAAGACATTCGTAGGGCATGTTGAAAGAATGGGCCTTATAGATAAATCCTTGTTAGCATGATAGCGTTCTGTATATATACATTAAATGTTCTTGCTCTTACAGTTATGACACTGGATGAGTTCAGTTAAAGTTGTGTTTCTGTTTATTATTTGTTATCCACATTATATTGTATACATTATTGTTTTGTGTGATGACATTATGTGAGGATTATAGTATTCCTCAATTATGGTTATTCTCCATAAGGCCATTTTGAACTGGGTTAATTATGTGATACATGGAAGGGATCAAGTTGGTATTAGACTTGTGACCGTCATGATCCGATTAACTCAATTCAATCAAATGAATGATATGACTTGTGAATTTCAATATAAAATGCGCACTTAAGGTATATTGAATCTTCAAGTCAATATATGGACCAAGCGGGAGATTGTTGGATTTAATTTTAATTTAATTGGTTTGGCCCATATAACTTTGGGCTTTCCTTGTCATTAAGGGTTTTAATTGATGGACTTAAAATCCTAGTTAGACAAGGCCTTAAAGAGGTCCATAAGGTTTTAATAATCCTAATAGGGTTAGGATCTAAAGGGTTTGGATGAACCCTCTCATTTCCCTTCATAACGTAAAAATATTGTCAACGGCTAGGATTTTCTCATCCATCAGAGAAACAATTAAAGTAGAAGGAAGAAAGGGGAAAATCACCCTGTTCAAGATTTTCTGGAAAGGCTATGGACAAAGGTAAGTTGGTCTAACCTTCTTGTTTATTAATATGTATGTGGTTGATTTGTTTGGGTTAAAAGATCCAACTATTAAAGTTTTTTTTTTAGTGAAATTAGTAGTGATAATTGGATTGATCAATTGTCAAGATTACAAACGCACGGTGGAAGAGCACCATACCATTCAAAGATAGCACCAACACCTAGATCTAACTGTGCTATATTATGAGCTAAAGTATTAGAAGAACGATGAGAATAAGAAAAGGTACTTAAGGAAAATAAGCTAGCTAAGTGTAAAATTTCAGTGATAAGACATCCTCCTTCCCAGTTGGAATTGGCACCTCTAGCAATCTCTTTGACAGCCATAAGAGAATCAGCATGGACTTCAATACAATCAACATTGTTTCTTAACGCCATTTGCAAGCCAAAGTGGATGCTTAATACTTCTGCATGAAGAACACTCACAATATAGTTTGTTTGCTTAAACCCAGAGCATATAATTTGGCCAGTGGAATTTCTCAAAACAGTACCAGACTTAGCAGTACCAGTAGCTAAATTATAAGCTGCATCTGTGTTTAACTTTATGATACCAGCTGTTGGCGGCACCCAAGGACACATAATCTGATTAGAACTCTGAATTGGTGAGGAGAAATGACAATCTTGTAGAGTTATCTGAGCTCGGATTGCTAAAGCAGATGGGAGACAACACCTATGCTCAAACACACATTTGTTGCGATTAAACTACAGCAGCCACATAACTATCAACACCAAATCCAATTGACCAAATTGTTGAGCTTGGGAAAGGACATTCAACCAGAATTCATTCGGGTTATTCCATAAGGGGAGCCATTCAAGAAGCCAAGGACAAGTGATTTTCCAAACTTCACAACTAAGAGTGCAATTAAAAAGAGTATGGAAAATAGTTTCCTCATGATCAACACAAACAGCACAGTTATTATCAAGATGAAGTCCTCGTTGTATCAAATTGAACTTACTTGGCAGAAAATTCCATATCAGCCTCCAGGTGAAGTATTTTATTTTTGGAACGACATTTGATTGCCATAAAATCCTCCATACTGGATTTTTGTCTGCAATCGAATATTCCTCCTTTTGCAAAACTCTACGAGCAACAAAATAGCCTGATTTAACAGTGAAAATCCCCACAGATGAATCATTCCAAATCAGCTTATCAGGTTGAAAAGACACTGGAATAGGCATGCATAGAATCCTTTGAATATCATCCGGCTGGAATAATAGCTCTAGTCGATCAATTAACCATCTTTTCTCAACATGATCTATCAAATCAGAAACTCTTAACTGATCATTACAAAGGGTTCCAGGTAATGGATGCGGTTTGAAATCTGTAGAATTGTTTATCCATTTATCCTCCCACACTTTGACAGTCATTCCATTGCCAATACGCCATCTCGAGCCTTCTATAATCACCTTACGGCCAGCAAGTAAACTTCTCCAAAGAAAAGAGGGATTTCTACCTAAGTTGGCATCAATAAGGGAATTGTTGGTGAAGTATTTTGCTTTTAGGATTCTGTAACAAAGAGATGCTTCAGATTGCATGAGACGCCAAACCTGTTTAGCCAATAAAGCAAGATTGAAAGCCTCTAAATCCCGGAAGCCGAGACCTCCATCCAGCTTTGAAATACACAATGTCTACCACTGCTTCCAATGGATTCTACGACCTTCCTGTCCATTGCCCCACCAGTAGTTAGCTATAGCCATATTCAATTCATGCAAGAAGGTTTTAGGGAATTTAAATACACTAATAAGGAATTGAGGTATTGATTGGGCAATTGATTGGATGAGAATCGATTTGCCTGCAATAGAAAGGAATTTGCTATTCTAGCTCCGAACACGAGCAATTAGTCGATTCTTAATAAAAAAACAATTCTCTCTTCTTAGATCTTCCAATCATGGTCAGAAGTCCAAGATATTTGTCCCTTTCTAATATTCTGCTAACCTCAAGCTGTGACATAATAGCATTCTTTAAACTATCCGGTGTACTTTTGCTGAAGAAAATTGATGATTTCTCAATGTTTATCTGTTGTCCAGAAGCCAATTCAAAACGATTCAAAATATCTAGTAAGGTTGCGCAGTCTGACCATTGAGCTCGAATGAAGAGCAAGATGTCATCTGCAAAGAAGAGATGGGAAATTTTGGGAGCATGTCTAGCAACCGATACACCTTCTATATTTCCATTCAATTCTGCTGTTTTCAGAAGACTAGTAAATCCCTCCATGCAAAGTAAGAAGAGATATGGAGATAAAGGATCTCCTTGTCGAATTCCCCTGGTCGGATAAATCCTTTCACTGTGATTACCATTAACACTTACGGAATAAGTGACTGTACGCACACACGTCATCACACTGGAAATCCAACGTTCAGAGAACCCCATAACTCTCATAACATCTTCTAAAAATTGCCATTCCACACGATCATAAGCTTTCCTCAAATCAAGCTTCAGTGCCATGTGCTGCTTACTATGACTTCTACTATTGGACATATGATGAATGATCTCAAAAGCAATCATTGAATTGTCAAACATTTGTCTACCAGGAACAAATGCACTTTGAGTCTCACTAATGATCTGAGGGAGAATAAGTTTCAACCGATTTGTCAAAGCCTTTGTAATAATTTTAATCAAGACATTACAAAGGCTAATTGGTCTAAATTCTTTAACACAAGAAGGATCAGCAACTTTCGGAATCAAAACAATAGTAGTGTGATTTATATCCGGAAGAGGTTTACCTTCATTATGAAATTCCAATGCCAATCTCGTGACATCTCCCCCAACTATGGACCAATATTTCTGATAGAAGCAAGGGTTGAATCCATCCGGTCCTGGAGACTTACTAGGATTCATTTGAAAAGCAGCCAACTTAATTTCATCTTCGGTAAACTCCTTACCAAGAAGATTATTCATCTCCGAAGAAACTCTATTACCCATTAGACTTGAGATAGCCTGTATATCGATAATAGAAGGATTATCAGAAGAGAAAATAGAGTTATAATACTCCAAAATTACCCCAGATATATTATGCTCATCAGTAAAAGTTGGCCTGAATCATCTTTTATTTGGGAAATAAAGCTTCTGCGTCTACGTTGGGATGCCACTGAATGGAAGTATTTTGTATTTCGGTCCCCATCTTTAAGCCATAAAGATCTTGATCTCTGTCTCCACATCATTTCTTCTTTTTTATAGAGTAGATTAAGTTCTGATTGACACTGTTGAAGAAAGGAACAATCACCACCAGCCTGACCCTTAGTAAACACAGCATCATTCTCTTTTCTTCGGAATAATTTGTGTTCGAACATGACCAAAGACATCTCGATTCCATTGTGTAAGAGCTTTGCTGCAAGAGGTAATTCTCTCAGTAATACAAATTGATGATGGATTCGACCAGCTCCTGGCTATGACATTACTTATATCTTCATGCTGGGTCCACATGTTTTCAAATCGAAACTGCCTGTTACCATGGAATTAGAGCTGGCAAAAGCTGACCCGACTGCGGGTACCCAACCCGACTGCCCGAAACCAAACCCAACCCAATTTGACAAAAAAAAGTCAACAAACCCAACCCGCCCAACCCGAAACCGAAACTGACCCAACCCAAAAATGACCCGAATTTTTGGGTACCTGAATCTGAAATTACCCGAATCCAAATGACCCAAACCCGAAATGACCCAAATCCAAAATGACCCGAACCCAATCAACCCGACAGATTAACCTGAAATGACCCGAATTAAAATTAATTATATTTAAATTGTAAAAACTAAAACTTGTAAAATAATTAGCAAACATTGTATATTTGATAGTTTTAATCCAATTTTAGTAATCTCAATCTCATGATATTTATTGCTAATTTTTTTAGTGTTTGATTTTTTTTTTTGAAAGGCAATCAAATTATTATTGATGAAAGCAAAAGCTACAGAACAAATAATGATTAATTGAAAGTTGAAACTATACCATTAATATTGATTATTACAAATAATAGAAATTTTTTATATTTTCTAATTATTTAAATATTTATACTTTTATAATATAGTTCATATAAAAAATCAATGCCAATGAATATTTCAATTAATACAATATATTTATAAGTTATATAAGTTTGAAGAGGTAAATAAAATGGATTATAAGTTTTTTTTTTAGGAAAGAATCATTTTCATTTCTTGGTTTGGGATTACAAACGCACAGGAAGACCCGTACACCGCTACATGATTAGCACATTACTGAAACGCTAATCTATGAGCCAACAAATAAACCCAATGAAATCTCATTACAATTCAAATAAATCTCTATGCCCATAAATAAACTACCTAACTACCTAATACATAAATAAACAAATTACAAATAAACTCACATTCCGTGAGAGTTGACTCAAATTCCGTGAGAGTTGAACCTAAGACCTCATGGTCTAGGTAAGCTGGAACTAAGAGTCCAATACTTTACCACCAGGCCAAATGCCTGATGGCATGGATTATAAGTTATAATATAAATAAAATGGATTAAATTATATTGTGCTATTGTGCATAGTAGTTCTCAGTGTGTAATGCAATTCAATCCCCAAATTCTCACATTTGTTCAAATTAGGGTCTGACAGATTTTAATTTGTTGGATTTAAAAGCTTGCATTTTCATAATTTGTTTAATTTAATGTTTAATTAGTTTTAATTTGAAATAATTTACAATTAATTTTCATTAATTAGTTTAAATTAGTGTTAAAACACATGCATTACATATTTAATTTATGTTAATTTAAAATTTAAATGTTGCGGTTGATTTAGTTTAAATATTTAATTTATATATTAGTCAAGGATCATTGGATCAAGTTATTGTTCAATTTTGATTCTTATATAATATATGTACACTATATATATTTGTTTTTTTTAAATAATAAATATTATTAATAATAAGGTAAAAGATATACAACCAAGCAATCAAGTTTGATGTTCTAGAAACACGAAGCTTGGCCAAGGAATCAGCAAAAAAGTTCGCCTCCCTAAAGACATGAACAAAAGAGACATTGCCTAAAATAGAAATCAGATTTGAAAGTCTATTATATTATATATATAGTATATATATATATATATATAGTATAAATCAGAGACATATGGCCTAAAATATATATATATATATATATATATATTATATTTGTACTGATTAATTAAGACTTAAATCTCTGAGATTGAAATTATAAGTTATATTAATGAAATTTCTTATAACTATTTTATCAAAAATGTTATAACTACAAACAGAAAAGAATTTTTAATAATCCCAAATTATAAGAATAGAAATAAAAATTAAAAAAAACGCAAACTTGAATGACTAGAATTAAATTTGAAACCCGAAATGACTCGACTATTAAACCCGAAAAAAATGAATTGTAACAACCCGAACCCGAAAAAGACCCGAACCCGAAAACCCGAGGCCTAAAACCTGAGGTTCAAACCCGAAATTATCCAAACCGTATGACCCGAAACCGAAAACGACCCACCCAGAATTGACCCGAACCCAAATGACCCGATATTTGAGCGACCCGAACCCAACCCAACCCGAAACCGAAAATTACCCGAACCCGTATGACCCGAAAATTTCTTAACCCAAAACTGACCCAACCCAAACAACCGAACCCAAACCCAATCCGACCCACCCATTTGCCAGTTCTACATGGAATTGCTGATCTGGATTACTCAAAACATGAAGGGAAATAGGTAAATGATCTGAAACCGGAGATATAAGATGTTCCTCATAGGAGAATTGAAACTGATTCATCCAATCTTCAGTCACAAAACATCTGTCTAATCTCTCAAATACCCGTTCTCCATTTATTACTCTACTCCATGTCATCTTTGGCCCTGTAAAAGGCACTTCCTGGAACCCACATTGCGTAATGGCTTCATTGAAATCATCCATTAGGCGTTGAGGTCTAATTGTTCCCCCAAGTTTATCGCCCTGGCTAGTAATTTCATTAAAATCACCTCCACACAGCCACGAGAGGTTTGAACGAGATTTTAATGTGTGAAACCTGTCTATTATTCATTACAGGTTCTCCATAAAATCCTGTGAACCGCCAAGGATTTTGTGTTTGCCAAATCACTTCAACATCTATATGATTTATAGAATAAGAAAGTAAATTAATAGTTACATCAGAAGACCAAAACAGAGCCAAATCCCCCGCTCGACCAACACTGCTCACACATAAACTATGTTCAAATCCCAACTTCCTCTTAATCCAATCCATTTCACCCGAACTCGGTTTTGTTTCTGATAAGAAAACTATGGCTGGACTACTTTTAATGACCAATTCGGCCAAAATATGAACTGATCGGGGTGTCCCAAGTCCCCGACAGTTCCAAAGTAGTATACTCATAGATCTCGGCAGGGAGAGCTAGTGTGCTCAAACCCCGCCGCTGGTAGAGATGAATTGACATCACCGGAACCATCACCAATCTCTTTGTATCGTTTGCCCAATTGATCTTGATGAACAACATCATGCTCTGTTTCAACTTGGATTCGTTTCCCTCCCACTCGTCGTGAAGCTTGACTGGAGGAAGACTTAATTCTTGAGCCACTACGAGCATACCTCTTCCAATTTGGTTGTTGAACTCCCCGAGAAGAATGAGGCTGAGAATCAAAGACAAATCCATCCCCAGGACCGGATGATTTGTTAACTGTCAAATTGGCACCAGAATTATTCATTAATATAGATTGAAGATTGTCAACAGTATCTCCAATTTCAGAAATAATTTGTTCATCTAATAGTTGTTTGGCCAAATTTTCTGAAATGTTATTGACATGGTGGTGAACATCAAGATTTTTGGGTAATGGATCAGGAGAAGTGGGTAACGATTGCTGCATAGGAACTGGTATATCAACAATCAGTTTTGTACAGTTAACAACATTATTCTCCAAGAGTCCACTATTTCCACAATTATCTTCAATAACTAACTTCCCACAATGTGTCTTTCCTGCTTGCACTCTAACAGAACATGAGGATTCAGTGACATTTTCCATAACCATTTTCAACTTGTTTCTCCCATCATTTTGGCGCTGGATTGCCTGTGGTGTTATGAAACTAAGGCCTGGTCCATCGGAATCAGTCAATGATGCTTGAGAGAATTCAGCCCGTAGCCATGGACCATATTCCCGAACAGCTTTCCCCTTCACTCGTTTCATGGTATAAAGCATTTCACAATCAGATTCGCTGTGTGTCAAGCGGCCACATATGTAACAAAAATCTGGCAAACGTTCATATAGGAAAGGAACAAAAGTATCTCCAATCATAGGCAAATTAATCCGAGATCCTCTCGGTATGGGATTAGAAACTTTCAACCAGATTTTGATTCTCAAAAATTTCCCCCAGGCAAGATTCTCATGAGTAGCATCCACTTCTTCAACAGATCCAAAAGAAGATCCGATTCCCTTGGCAATCCGCTCTGTCATAAATGCTAAGGGCAGTCCATGAATCTGCATCCAAAAGGGGCAGTAATCAAGATCAATGGATTCCGGAGTAACCATACCATCAAAATCTTGTAGAACCATTAGTGCTCGATTGAAGTTCCGAGGCTGTGTCATGAAAATTCGATCCTTCTCCCCCAATTTCTCGAATTGAAAGATGAATAAATGGTCTCCAACTTCCCTGACTTGCAAGGATCCAGACAGTTCCCAAACCTTGTAAATGACAGTGTTGGTGGTAGTTGTGCAACAGAAACAATTTCAAGTCAGTTATGTTAGTTGAAAGAACACTGTTTTGAAGCTGCTATTTTTGCTGCTGGAATGTTCACACCAGAAGCTAGGTTTGCAGCCAATTTTAACCAATGAGAAGCAAGGATTTTAACTCAGTCAAGTGGATCACTTTTAAGCAGGTTAAGCAAGCAGCTGAATTGCAAGTTGATGCCTGCAGCTGCTTGCGTCTGTTAC